ATGAGTATTTTTCGGTGCTTGATCAAAACGCAAACTTATGCGTCAATTTGTTTATTTGCTGGAGGTCTGACTCGTCTATTGTGTAACTTAGGATCGGAGGGGGTGGGGGTGGGGGTGGGCTCTCAATCGCACGACTGGCAATTTTCGACAGACTCAGAGGAATGCAATATGTCTCAAATAAGTGTTCTTGGCTAATTTTCGGTTATTTTGAAAACGGCCTAACTAAATTCAATGAACATGAAGCAAAGGCATTGAAAAATGACACATGACGATTGGGATACCTATAAGAGTATAAAAAAATATTTTGTATGCTTAAAAAATGCTCATATGATTGATAAACTGGTTGCTCGTTGAACAGATTATTTGCAATAACGCTCACTTGCTATGCAGTTAATTATCGTGGCTCAAATTAAACTTCGTTACAATACCATGCACCATTTCAGGTTACCCTGCTTGTGATTCAAAACTTTCGTATGGAAGATGCCGGTGAGTACACCTGTCGTAAAGCCAATCCAAAACACACAGTGGAACCTGTGAGTGTTAGTGTCATTCCAAGACCGCGTCTGCTAGCCGAATTCATCCCTCTGGCTTCAACCCATCCCGAGGATTCCGGATCGGCCGTAGTGGCTGGACGTCCCGTGTTTGTTGTGCTCGAGGAAGGTCGCAGTGGTCAACTCACCTGTCGCCGAAATCCGCAGTTTCGACCTGATCAAGTACAAATCACGTGGTATTTTCAAGGTCGCCAGCTAATTGCACCGTCTATGGCCATACCTAGACCAAAACACTTGTTATCCATTGGGAATCAGAATCCATCAAGCAGACCGAACGGCAGCCCACTAACTCAAGCCGAATTGGAATTAGCTCAGTTGGAGAAGGAAAAACAATTGCTTGAGGCCAGCCGAAGAGTTGGGGTTGTCGGCGATCGACCCGTATCGCTTGATCCAGCCGAATTGGGGATCAGCATTCTAGACGATGGACAGGTGGGTACTACAGTTATACGTACACGTTTAGTGATTGGAAATACTGTTTTACTGGACTATTTGCATCAAAAATGTCAGACATGTGATTGTATATTTCATCCCGCGATTCTCTCAGGATCTAACGACAGCGAACGAATATGTGTCGAAAATGATAAACATTTGAAAATTACTAGTATTCAGTAGAACGGTGAAATCAAAAGTACACACGACTTTGAAGGTAAAGCGAATGCTTCCAAGTTGTGCTTCAGAACCGGAAAAATGGTCTGCTGGGTACTGTGTTCAGCTCGAAGCATTTGGTCTGTTTTGCATTCGTATTTAAAGTTGATATTGCTCTCACAACTGCTTAGTCGCATCTGATAACAAACAAGAAAAGCCGTTCACAATGTATTTTATGTTATTCCAGCTCTAAGCAGCTGATTTCAACGGAAACAACAACTAGTAACAGTACCACAAATAGCACTGTCTCCACGTGAGTCGAGCTTTAGAAAATACGCCGAGAACTTTCATTCGAAAGGGATTTTACCATATACAGTGCTTGGTTTATTGCCGTTTCTCGTTTCAGTTAGATGCAAGTGAATAAACCTGCCGGTTCACCTCGATTCCCGTGATCCAGAATGCCACATTTATTGAACTATATATTTAAACGGTTGGGACCATTGTAAATGACAGCAGTATATATGCATACTATGTGCATACTATAGTATCAGTTGTACGTGTACGTAGTGTTATTGAATGCCTTGGATGGGCTGAAAATTGAAAGTTAGGTGATCTTTCTGATAAACTGATCTGCAGCCGTGATTAATGTTTGAGTATTTATTGTCAACTCAAATCTCGACAGTGAAAACCAGAAAACGTAATGTGCTATTTCATGAGATGAATCCCAAATGTATTCAATGAATACTGTTTTCGCGGTATTCTTCGGGCTTCGTGGGTTAAATGACGTCATCAGTCGGTGAGGATGAATCGAAATTTAGTTCAAACTTTGAAGTGGGTACAAGTATTGGGTACATAGAGTCGGAATACCTACCACCCATTCTGCTGTCAGTTGAAAGCCATTTTTTGGTTGAACTCATCTCATGATCTCCTGCATTGAACAATCGTGACTTCCTGATGCGCAATACTGCAAAGAAATTTGATGAAAATCAAATTATGCATTTTCCATACAGTTTTTCAGAGTTACAACCCACGTAATCAATCCCAAGAACTCTACCATATACTAGTTATGTTCGATCCTATGACTCAGAAAAGTAAAACTTTTGTTACAAATATTATAACCTAATCACAGTCAAGAAGTTGGAAAAGGAAAAATCTGAGATTGGCTGAATTGCCTATTCTGAACATCACCTTGAACGATGAAAAGCGAAACCTTACTATGTGTCACTACAACAAAAATGTACACAGAATAAATCGTTTTACTGTCTACTACTTTCACGGCCTTTCTGATGTATTTATTATTTCGTGTTTGACTTGTGTAGGTGCCGAAGTTTGTTTGCTTCTGTCACAATAATTGCCCCACATGATCAGACTTGATAAAGTTATCGATTTGAAATGGTATGTTTTGCCGCACTGAGTCGTCTATTTCACCTAACATTTCTGTCGCTTAGGCTAATCATCTCCACGGTAAAATAATCCCCATGACACCGTGACCTGAGCTCTGTAATGTATTTGTCTAGCAACAAAATTGGAATCAATAAAACCTGGGGAATTGTTAGGTGCGGAGAGTTCTCAGGGGAATCAAAGAAAGAAAAATTGACCAGCATCTCCTGGTGGACGCGCTTTGAACTTTCAAGGTCACCGGACTGTAAACTCTGCTATGTGAATTGAAGGACAGACTGTAGAAAAAATGAGGCGTGTAACAACAGCAATCTACTGATTTATTTTACTTTTTATTATGCATTTTGGTTCTAGACGATACGAACATAGAACCGATCGAAAATTCAATTCTCTTCGAATTCAAGACAAAGATTCTTTTTATCTCAATAGAATTAACGATTAAATACTAAACTGAAGCACGGACTTACTAAATTCTGATGGCGAACTATGAAATTTATAATGTTTTTAATATACCAGATAACGAATATAATAAGGATAACATTTGACAGTTAATACACTGTGTCCAGTTGCCATGAGATTTTTTGCGATTGATGACCCTGGATTTCTCTTATCAATTTGACCTATAAGACTTTATTGCGTCATCAATTGTGCCAACTACTGGGGAATATGTTCAGACATCCGCTGTGCCAGGGGCCGATTCGTTCTACCGATGTAAGTGAACTGGTATACGGTATGTGAAGCAGAATTGTTCTACCAGGCGGGGAACTGGGGAAGTTCCGTAACGTGTATTGTGTGAGTTGTACAAGCACAACAGCTGACATTCTAATTTAAATGACTGCGAATTCAAACCATCACGCCGAATACATTAAAACAAAAACAAACGTTGCATATGGTTAGAACAGAATTCACTTGCAACTCTCTTATCGAAGCTTACACGTGCAAGGTAGGGTCTGTAAGACCCACACACTATTGAAGAAAAACAGATCCATATTATTGTGAAGTATGAGCTTTCGGATTTGAAATGATGGACCCTGCAGTCTACCAACACAAGTAGGAAGCCAGTTGTGATCTTTCGGTGCTTCAAGGACAGAAGTGTTTAACATCTCTAAGGGGTCTGTGGGAAAG